CAAGACTTCCGTTTTTGATGCATTGAGCTGTAGGAAGTTGCTTGACATCCAATCCTCAATTGCAGACAGACATGTGATGAGGGTGTTTACATTTTCCATTTTGACGGGTTTGAAAGAGAAATATATTTGGATATCATCTGCATAACAGTGATATGAGACACCCTTGAATTGGCTAATTAAGCGGCCCAATGGGAGCATGTACAGGGCAAAAAGAAGGGGGGCTAAAACAGAACCCTGGGGCAGGCCGCAGGATAGGGGAGTGCTATGTGATGAGAGTGTTCACCGCCACGGAGAAACTTCTCCCACTTAGGTACGAGGCAAACCACTGGAGGGCAGACCCTGAGATGCCTACCCACTCCCTGAGTCTATCTAGCATGATGGCGTGGTCCACTGTGTCAAACGCTGCACTCAGGTCCAACAACACCAGAACCACGCAATCACCTGCATCCGATGCCATCATGATGTCATTGGAGACCCTGAGGAGAGCTGATTCTGTGGAGTGGTGTTTTCTGAAACCTGATTGGAATTTGTCATGGATTTTATTATCATTCAGAAATGTATTGAGTTGATTAGCAACAACTTTTTCTAAAACTTTTGACACAAATGGGAGCTTTGAGATGGGCCTGTAATTATTCGGGAGGGAGGGATCTAGATTGGGTTTTTTGAGAAGGGGCTGAACAACCGCCTGCTTAAAGAATGATGGGACGGAGCCAGAGACAATGGAGATGTTTATAATGTGGAGCAGGGGTGGAGCGACACACGAAAAAACTTCTTTTAGCATGGACGTTGGTAAAGCATCCAGAGGGCTTGAGGAAGATTTCATAGCGCTCACTACAGCGGTCAGGTCGGCTATGGTGATGCAGGAGAAATTACTCAGCGTGGCCTGCCTAACTGGACAGATAGGGAGGGGGGAGTGGGAGGGGGTGATGCTCGACCTCACATCAGCTACCTTGTTTATAAAAAAGGTGAGAAAACGGTCGTTTGAATAAATAGGAACTAAGGGGGTGGACGGGTTTACAATGGTATTTATGGTTTTAAATAGTACTCTGGGGTTGTGCTTACTAGAGGAGATGAGGTTAGAAAAATAGGTAGCCCGGGCATTTTTGACCAAATTGTTGTAATCGCAGTAAAGGTCCTTCAGATGGAGACGGTGTACCTGGAGGTTAGTGGTTTTCCACAGCCGCTCAACTTTGCGACAATGCCGTTTCAGTATACGGGTGTCCTCTGTTAACCAGGGGGATGTGTTTACAGCTAGGGAGCTGCGTGTCACCATGGGAGCGACGTCATCTAAAATGGCGGAGCAGTGTGTATTGAAAGCGTTGACTAGACAATCAACGTCATCAACATGCGACACCAAAACATTGTTGTCAAAAGCTGTTACAAATTTCTCAACCGCTGCGCTATTTAAAATACGCAAGGTTTTTACTCGCTTCCCCTGAACATAAGCGTTATCTAAGGACATGACAAATAGTACGGCTTTATGGTCGGAAACAGATAGCTCTTCGATACAAACATTGCTGATATTTAGACCAATTGTGAACACAAGATCCAATGTGTTACCTTTGTTATGCGTTGGGCCAGACACATGTTGACAGAAGTTTAAAGATTCGGTGACATTAAGGAAATCACTGGCAAATTTGTCTGAGCAGTCATTTACATGAATGTTAAAATCCCCGCACAGAAGAACTCTTTCATAGCGGATGATGGAGGTTAGTAAGTCACCAAGATCGGATAAAAAAAGAGCCATTCTTGCCTGGAGGGCGGTAGATTAAAATACAATAAAACGGGTTTGAGCGACCCACTTTTGTTATTAGCACTTCAAATGTTGGGAAGGATCCAGTGCTCACCATGTTGGTGGAGAAGCAGTCTCTGTGGAACGCGGCAAGTCCTCCTCCTCGGCGGGTGCGCCTAGGAGCACAGGAGTAGCTGTAGCCCGGAGGACAAAGTTCGTTCAAGGAGGAAAACTCCCCGGCTCTCTGCCAGGACTCCGAAACAAGCATAAAATCCAGCTCTCTTGAGACGACGTAGTCATTTAATACAAAGGATTTGTTTGTAATGGATCTGGCGTTCAACAAACAGAAGGATACGGTGTCAGATCCGGCTCTTCCTATCTTCGAGGCCCGAGGCAGTGGGCGCAGGCAGCCGGACACAGGAGCCATGCCGAAACGAGCCGATGGTCGATTTCCAGAGCCCCCCGGCCCTTGATGCGGACACCCAGGCACTGAAGCCACACTGGTGAGTTTTGTGAATTGTCGTTTTGTGAATTGTCGTTTGGCAGGAGCAAACGCGGGTAGGTGGGATGTTGATGCCGGGAGAATAGGACGGAGGCATGACGGCCTCACCCTGGGGCCAGCTGTCATGGAGGTGGTGCACATTATAGACGAGGAGCGGCCTTCTGTCAGCTTGCGGAACTTTACCGCCGCTCCGGCTCGCCTTCCCCTCCGTCTTGCTCTCCAGGTTCGGGGGCAGCAATAGGTTGCAGACCAGATTACCTCTGGTACCTGGGGACGCAGGGTACGGTGACAACTCCACTGTGCCTATCGGTCCGACAGTGATTGTGCCACCGAAGCACCTATATCCAGCAGAGTTTGGCGATCATAGGAAACTGCCGATTTGACATTGCGTACGCACAACGATAAAAACAGATAAGCGACAAACAGGAGCGGTAGCGAGTGAAGACGACTAGCAGCCAACATAGGCGCGGCCATCTTGCTCTGACACCTTGCTCTGACACCTTACAGGTTCGTCAGGCCCAACACATCTTCAACAAACTCCCCCTTTGCCTCATCATAAAAACTCACAAACACCAGCAACTGAGCATTGTCAGTGGTGTCAGTGGACTCATCCACAGCTAAGGAAATGCACTGTGCATTTTTTATTCCATCACAAAGCTGATTAATCAAATCACCAGCCAGTATTTATGTTCTTCTGGTTGCTGTGGAATCTGAGAAGGGGATTTGCTTGATTTGACCTGTTATTTCCTCTTTTTGTTTGCCTTCAAACATGGTCTCCATCACTTCAGTCATGCATTCTTTTATACTTCAGTTATTATCCAGTGGAATGCCCTTACCTACTGGCCTAGTTAAATCAAAGTGGTTACTTTTTTTTGTCTGGGCAGTGTAGTTTTACACACCGTCTTATTTTACTTTCTCAGGACTTAAAACAGTTTTTTGGGGGCAGACCCCCACAAAGAAAAATATATATTTACACACGTAAGGTCATCATCTTAACAGTTTTGTATGCTCATCCGTGAGCAGAGCATCAAGTTGACATTTATATTACAGCTGATGCGGCGATTACCATTTTGTTCAGCAAAACGCCTCACAAACTTATTAAGATCAACAGCTTTAGTGCGTTTTGATTCAATGCTGAGTACAGCCAAACTTCACAGTCTCTTCTCTGTCATTGTAGACTGCACATACCTCATTCCTTCAGTACTTGGGTCCGAATGCTTCTCGTTTTGCGCCGTGCCGTTCAAATGAAATCAGGGCCGGGGGAGGGGTTACAAGACATGCGTCTTGTGCTGCATTCACTTGCACTCGGACATTAGAGACTTTCTCTCTCATATGTCCGATGAGCCACAACTTTTCTTTCAAAACAAAGCTGCCAACTGGGGTGGCAGCTGGGGTGGCAAGGCCTATTTTTAGGGTGGCAGTTGCCACCCCGGTAGGTGAAACTAGGCTACTAGCTACAGTACAGATGCAACTAGATGAGCTGTTAACTCTCGCTCTGACTTTTTTTTTAAACACACACGCATTTTTCCCACCGGCATTCCGCGAAGACCCGCCCTACTGTGCCTCTGATTCGCAGACTGTTGGTGGGGGGAAAAAACGCTGACGGGATGCTGAATGTGATTGGACCAATGCGTTGACAGACACACACTAGTGATGGGAATTATGGCTCTTTGAAGGGAGCCGGATCTTATGGCTCCGTTCCTTTCAAAGAGCCGTTCAAAAGAGCCGTTTTTTTAAAAAGGGGGCGGGGTTACTAGGTTTATCTGCGAAATAATCACCAGGATAATGATTGACTGCATTGCCAGACCTAATGTCAATAATCTGCATTGTAAACATGACACAAGGTGGCGCCATATCCATGTCATTCATGTCAGTGAATGTACTTTGAATTTACCCTCTGCATGTGTTAAGTAAATAAAGTTGCCTTGCCTTGAATGAAATTCACGCAACTCTTAATATTAGTAGTGTGTTTTTAAGTGGCGATGGAGATTATTTGTTGACCCTGCTTTAAAGGATATTTTGCCTTTACAAATGGTGCGCTTTATCACTGCCTGGGTTTTGGTTGAAGTGCATCCAAATGCTGCTGCGTTTTCGCGTTTGGCTCATTTTACATCCGAAAAACACGTCGTCTATCTGTCCAGTACCACTTGTTATGACTTCTCTCTCTCGCGTATTCCGTTAAGACCCACCCCACCTAACTCCTCGTGCTGAAACCTACAAATCAGAGTAGGGGCGGGTCTTCACAGAATACGTTTGGGGAACAAAATCAAGCTTTTTAAAAGGCGAGTGAATTTTGGCAGGCAGTGAGTGCGGACCAACTTTGATTGAACGATAAGAAGAACGGCTCTCACCAAGTACGACTCGGTTCCCCTCGTTCGTACCAAAGAGCCGTTCAAAAGAATCGGCTCGTTCGCGACCGACACATCACTAACACACACAGACAGTGGAACAGTCGTACATGCAGAGCGCTGTTTGCAGTGGACATAGCGGAGCATTTTGACTCGTTGCGTTGTGGCGATGTCTCACAGATAACACAGATAATACATATGAAAAGTATAATTTGCTCAGAGTCCAGAGACAGTTGTGGTTCGGTCCGGATCCGGACCGGAGTCCGGACTTTGAGGATGCCTGCTATAGATACTACCCCAGTTCCTAAACTGTAATGGAAACGCGCCATAAAGTGAGCTGGTCCTAACGAGGCCAAGCGAGGCCGTGTAGTGGAAACGCGCCAAAAGTGCTGAAGGCTACTTAAAGAGCAACTTGCAGGTTTTTTTTTTTTTACTGCATTTATGCTTAACCTTGCCTGAAAATTACAATTAAAAAAAGTTAAGGCAGGATTTTACATGTTTACGAGACATAAGGGCAGGAATTCAGAGGGGAAAGTAGCCGTTTTTAGTTTTTTTTTAAACGTCATACGTCAAACGGGTCATATTACCTCACATAGGGGAGCAACATTCTCGGACTCCTTCTCTGACCGCGCCCCTGTAGTAGTTGGTTTGAGCGGTTGTGATTTAGTGAGCTGGTATTTTTTTCGGTAGTTTTACATCATGGTGTACCATTGTGTTTGTGCTGGTTGCACAAACTCCAGCCTGTCAGGATATCGAGTCCACAATTTCCCTAACAGGAAAAGGACCGGAGCTAGCTTTCGTTCCTGGGTGCGTTTTGTGCAAGCGAAGAGACGGGACTTCACTACCGCATCTGCGACGAAAAACGCGGTCGTTTGTGGCGCTCATTTTAGACAGGAGGATTATGAGGCAGGTGATCTGATGCAGTTCAGGATGGGATATCGAAGCCAGGACCGTGTGAGGCTGATAGCTAGTGCGGTTCCGTCAATACACCCAGCTTCTTTATCAGCTCCGGTAGCAGCAGCAGCAGCCGGTGGCGGGAGTGATGGTCAAGGATCGGTCAGAAAATCTGAGGTACTTTACTTTGCAAAAGTACTTTACTTTGTAAAAGTACCTCAGAGTATTCTCTTGCAAATTCTTTTTACATAGTTATTTTGTACGTTTTCTCTTCTACATTTGTTACCTAACACCTGAAGATGAATGCGCACAAGACATAAACAAATATAACGTTTTTTATTAACTTGTTTATTTGTGTTCCATTATGGTTGTTTTGTACATAGATGTATATATAAAGGCTAGATGACTCAAGGGGGAGTCGCCAGCGTAGCTCACCGGTGGCCATCTTGCCACAGTCAACAACTACTGCTACAGCTGTTGTAAGGTGAGTAATCTGCACAAAAATACTCTTAACTCGCTGAAATCTTGACTGATTTACAAACGGTTTGGTTTATTATAAACGTTATTAGCATGGCTATGATACAGGGGACAACAAGACATGTTGAAAAAAAAAGTCCATGATTATAAGTATGCAGTATCATAACTACATATTTGATGTTTATAACAAACCAAACCGTTTGAAAATTGGTTAAAAATTGAGCAAGCTACGGTTATTTCAATAGTGATTTGATTTGATTTGATTTGATTTAGTGCACCATAGACATAATGTTATGAATGAGCGAGCTGCCTGTGGCAAGATGGCCGCCATGTGGCAACGTCGGTCTCCATTGGCTAGCAGCGCGGGTGACTCATCTAGTGCAGTGGTTCCCAAACTTTTTGTGCCCAAGGCACACCAAAGGACAAGTAAAAATCTCAAGGCACACCTATTGTGCAAAATAGCCCTTATAACACGTGTTATCACTCATATCATGTAAAATATCTGTAAATGTGCATAATTATTTACTAATGCCAAATAAAATGTGACAAAGACAACTATATTACTCATGAAATATTTATTAACGAAATATTTCAGAAATTAATTTGAAACTTTATCAAATTAGGCTTCATCAAAGCAGCAACACACTCATTTAAACCAGACAGGTCACAAAATTAAAAATTGTGGAGGATCAGGCTTTGGTGGTCGGCTCCCATCTCGGCGCACAGCTGGGAGAAGAGGCGAGATTTCAGGGGCCTTGATTTGATGTAATTCACCATCTGCACAGCCTGATTCAGCACCTCAGTCAACTCCGGGGGGCATGGTTTTGGCAACTAATGCCTCTCTATGCAAAATGCAGTGGTTTGACACGATATGTGGGTATTGTGCTCTCACCTTAGCAATAAATCCTTTCACTCTCCCCGTCATGCTTGCCGCACCATCTGTGCAAAGACTGATGCACATATTCCAGGTCAGACTGTTCTCTTTTAAATAGTTATTAGTTACCCTGAATATTTCTTCTCCCGTAGTATGGCTTTCCATTTCTTTGCAGAAGAAAAACGTCTCTTTGATAGAGTCAGCATCAACATATCTGACGTTTGCCAGAAGTTGGGCAGCCCCACTTATGTCAGTAGATTCGTCTATTTGTAGGGAAAATCTGCCGCTCGCCTGCAGTTTCTCTGTCAAATGTTGCTCAATGTCTTCTGACATGTCGTCGATTCTTCTTTTGATTGTATTATCAGACGACGGCACTTTGGATAGCTCATTTGCGGCATCTGGACCCAGCATGACACCTACAATTGTTTTGCAAGCGGGGAGGATGAGTGTCTCCGCTATTGTGTGAGGTTTCTTCTGCTTTGCAATGAGCTCCGCTAGCATCTAACTAGCCTCCATTGCCTTTTCAGACACTTTCACACAATCCAACAAACGGTCTTGCTGCCTCTGGTTCAGATCCCGCGCTCTTTTGAAGTAGGCCAAGTTTCTCTGAACATGGAAGGGATTTTTGGTTTCCAAGTGCCTCTTCAGCTTGCTTGGAACCATGTCCGCATTAGCTAACTTCTCCCGACAGACGACGCACTCGGGCTGAGGATTGTTGAGATCCCCGGTCCAACTGAAGCCATAAGACAGGTAACTTTCATGATACTGTCTGCTGACAGTTTTTTTCCTGTTTTCTTTCGGTGGTGGGTTGTCGGCAGTCTCTGTACTGGTGGTTGGTGGTTTGCTCCGCACAAGAAAGCGCTCCATTTTCCCTCTTGCGTGTTTCTCTGTTTTAATGTTGTCCTTTAGCCTTCGATGTGTCACGGTCTTATAATTCCCACCTGCAACTGCGTTAACAGCGAAATATGGGGTTCTGTGAGGATTTTTTTTTAAAGAATTGTTTTTAGGTATAGAGTTTGCCTCTGTATTATGAAATGAGTGCATACAAAGTACTGATACAGTAAATTAAAAAAGTATTATTTTTGTGTAGTTGTATATTGCAATAATAACGTATGGTTGTCACAAAATCCCACAGCACACCCGGACTTGCCTCACGGCACACCGTTTGGGAACCACTGATCTAGTGTTTATATATATATATATATATCTATGGTTTTGTAGGTGTCTGTTCTCTATTGTTTAGCTAAAGAAGGGAAGAAAGATGATATCCTACAATGTTGTGGCATATTATAATTTTTTTGCTTACATGTGTTTTTAAGCATTATATTCCATAACATAAACCTGCTCAGGTTTTCTAAATAACATTGGTATATAATTGAATCAATAGAAGGAAATGGTGATAATTTGAAGTTTGAAATTGCATGAAAACAGAAAATGAAATATCTGATAATAGTGAAAAATAGTTTTAACAATTTCCCAAAAATCAAAGACTGACATCTGTAAAAAATGTTTGTTTCAAACCCAAAGGAATAAAACCAGAACATATTCACATTTAAGATGCTGTAACCAGTGACTTTACTTCACCTCTTTAAAAAAAGAATTGATTCAGATGTTAATTCATCACCAAATAGTTGCACATTATTTTCCTGTTGATCAACATAGTTAGAAAACATAATGCATGTTCTGTTGGATATGAGTTAATCTGTTGCCTGAAAACATAACAATTTTATATATTTTTTCCGTGTTTAGATGTCCTCTGTGGTTGCGGGTGGGCTTGCAGGAAAGTCCACTTCATCCTCTGGGGTGAAAGGAAACATATACTGGGACTGTGACAGCAGCTTGGATCAGATCACGGTTGTGAGGATCGACGACACGCACATTGCGGAGGATAAAGACTCTGCGGCGTGCTACGATGTGGAGTACTCCATTCCCGCTGAGGAGGAGGCTAACGACGAGGACCACGGCGTCCACCGCATCCACGTCATCGAGTTCTTTATAATTTTTTTATCTTTTATTTTTTTTTATTTAACCTTTATTTAACCAGATAAAAACATTGAGATAAAATCTCATTTTCAATGCTGACCTGGCCAAGAAGGCAGCAACGTTACACATAACACATAACACAAACATATAAAATACAGAGAACATAACTAAGAAAACAAAAGACGAAAAAGCAGTCACTACATTGTGCACATTAGGGACAGTAAGAAAAGTACACTACCTGTTACTGCAAGAGCAGCTGGTGGTGAGGACTTCAGACAACTTCAATTTAAAACATGATATAGAGACAAGTGCCCTCAGTTTAAGGCGTGATTGAAGGTCATTCCAAGACCAAGGACCATAATAAGAAAGACTCCTTTTTCCAGCCTAGTCCGTACAGTAGGTACCTGGAACCGTATCCAGGCACTGGATCTGAGGTTGTAAGAGTCACAAACTGGGGCAAATCTGACACATATGTGGAGTGGAAGCTTAACTAAAATGGCTTTATACATTAATAAAAACCAGTGCTGCATCCTACGCATAGTAAGTGAGGACCATCCAGTTAGGCTATACAGTGTGCAATGATGAGTCCTATAGGGTGCATTTGATATATAACGCAGTGCAGCATGGTAAAGTGGGTCAAGTTTGGCCAAAACAGTGGGACAGGCAAATCTATAGATTGTATCACCGTAGTCCAGCTGGGACAGGAATAAGCCAGAGACCAACCTTTTACGGGATGAAATTGAAAAACAACATTTAAGTCTGTAAAGGAAGCCAAGAGTGAATTTCAATTTCTTTGTTAAAACTTCAATATGGTGTTTAAAGTTCAGATTACTGTCCAACCAAAAGCACTCAAACCCCGAAGAGGAGGGAGAGAGCTACCAGTTCACCATGTCTGTGGATCGACCACTGCCCACCAAAAAGCAGATAGTTACACATGCTGCGGCGAGAGAGAGCGTGATGTCCAAACCCTCCAGACCTCAGAGGCTGCGGCAGAAGAGGAAGATGGACATAGAGGAGGAGGTGGTGAGTAATAAGTGTTTGCTTGAGCTTGGGGAGGACTACAGGGACATTATGAGGACGAACTCTGATAAAGAGCAGCTGGTGTGCAAGCTCTGCCCGCCACCCGGACGCTTTTTCAAGAAACCTGCCGGTCTGGCCGTGCATCTGAAACACACGCACCAGTTTGGGGGGAAGACGTTCTTCTGCACCACCTGCCAGCGGTCGGTCCGCACTCAGTTGGATCTGGATTCACACACCAAACGCCACGCCAATCAGGAAGCCGTGTTCACCTGCCTGCTCTGCAAGGCGCAGGAGGGCAAGGCGGGGTACACGGCGGGGTACACAGGGGCCAAGCTCGGTCTGAGGAGACACCTGGAGCAGGAGCACCCGGGCGTCGTGCCGCGTTGCGACATCTGCAACAAAGGCTTCCTGTCGCTCACGTCCTACCTGGCCGATCAGTTCAGGCACGTCGGAGTGTCGCCGTACTACTGCGCCCGCTGTCAGATCTACGAGATGACGGAGCGGGGTCTGAGTGTCCACATCAGGAACGACAACTTGAGGGAGAAGAAGCTGCAGGAGTCTCAGAACAACCTGCTGGAGCCTGAAAGCAACCTGAGGGAACTCGGAGTCTCCGTCAGCGACGATAACTCTGCCACAGACGACTCTGACTTCTGACTTTATTTGTTTTATTTCCCTCAGTGTTTGAGGACTAAAGCAGCACAAGCGTAGCCACCTTTCTTCATGCATCTTTAACTGCTGTGAATTGATATTTTGGAAACAGATTTTTATTTTCGAATAAAAGAGATAGTTTGACATTTTGGGATCTATGCTTATTCTTTTTATTGCCAGAAGATATTACTTATTAATATCTTCTGGCTTGCTAACTTTGTAAGATTGCTTACTTGCTAAGAATCCAATGAAGAGGTTCCTATCCCTCCCAGATATGACTTACTTTCATATATTAATTATCTTGTTGATTAATTGCTGAAGAAATGAAAAAAATACCATAATAAAGGTCACCTATTATGCAAAATCCATTTGTTTATGTCTTTTATACATAAACATGTGTCCCCTGTTTCAGATTCTGAAAGTTTGTCCTGATCCATTTATTTAAAATCATAGCGATTTTTTGGCTTGTAAAACCAAAGCAGAAGAAGAAGTGACGTCAGCGGCTTCATTTGCGTAATCTTCCCTCAGGGAATTTATTCCGGTGTGAACGCGATCGGCTCTTAGTTCCATGGGGGTACTAAGTGCTGGGAACTAAGTACGGCAAAGTACTTGGTGTGAAAGCGGCTAATTTGTTCTTTTTAAGCAAATATCTGGCGTGGGGAGTGGCTCCTTATTTTACAGATAAGGAGTAGTAAGTAACAGACAGAGAATCAGCACTTTTGAAACAGGGCTGAAACAGAGGGGATTATGGGATGCTGCAATGATCTGTTGGGTATTTGGAGCCAAACACTTCAGAGACATGTTTTGTATATATCTGAGACCTATAATATATTGATGAGAAACAGTATAATAGGGGACCTTTAAAGTTTTGTGGTTTTGTTGGACCAACAGTTATATGATATGTAATGATATTAAACAATCTTTACGTTTGAGAAGCTGAATCCAGATCACTTTTGGTGATACAATAAATCAATTAACAAAGTAGTTTGCAATTGCTTTCCCATGAATTCTCTAATGTTTGTTTTAAGACCCAGATTGTAAAATAAGCTGGTGTTAATGCTGTATTTGAGTTGATGCATGTGTTTGTAAATACTGTATATTCTGTGTTACTCAGCAGCGTTCGAGCTACAGGAGAAGACAGTAAAACATTATTTGTACGCTGATTTAATAGAAATGAACTGAAACGGCAGTAGAGCTCATATCATTTGTAATAAATGGGACTGAAAATAAAAAAGCTATGATCCAGATTGTGTCCTTTTTACAAAAAAGCTTCTACAATTTAGTTTCTTTTTGAGCACAGTGGATTTAAACATGAATGACTTGAAATTAAAATGGAAGTAAAAAAAGAATTAAACAACAATATTTGACATAAAATATTTTAAACATTTAAAAAGGGGATGTTTTCTTTCTTTTTGGAAATGCAAAATAGTAAATGTAATTAAATCTTGGTAATTTGTTAGTTAAAAATATAATTTTACATTATTTCACTCACCATGAAATGCTTCGTTTGTAGGCACTGAATGTTTTAGAAAAATCTGTAATATCAAATTGACATTTTCAGTGTCCTCTTGCATAAAACCACTTAAGCTCATGTTGTCAGTACATCTTTATCTAAAATACCCTGTATGAAACACAACTTAATATGCATTTGTGGTGAAGTTGTGTATAAAAAAACAACCAAAACGTATTAATTTCTTCATACCACTTAGAGGAAAGTAGTCTTTGTATTTTGTGTGAACTTCCCCTTTGTAAAATCTCTAAACTATAACATGCTCAAAGAGAGTCAGAGTGCGTTATCAGCTGATTATCCTTTTTATTGTTTTTAATAGAAAGTCCAACTCTCGCTGCAGGTACAAAAACAGAGAGCTGGAGTAGCAGCAGGCTGAACGCTGACAGAAGAAGAAGAAGAAGAAGAAGAAGAAGAAGAAAGCTATTCCCCAGTTCATAATTACAGAAAAAAATCCTTTTACATTCCTTTATCCCAGAGCTGTACAACGAAAGACGAGGCAAACAACATTTATATATTTCATATTATATATAAAACAACAAAAAAATCTATAGATCCCTTTTTATGTTGACGGACATTCGGATGAGCACGGGGAGGAAGAAGTATTTTAAATCATTCACAGAAAGATTACAGTATTTCTGACGGATGCAGGAGGGACTTTTGTTTCGTGCTCGCTGATTGTCTTCAGTCTGTTTTGTTTTGCAGCAGAGAAACACACAGGCGCACCTTTATTTTACTTACAGGCCTAACACAGTTTCCAGATTATATTACAAAAGAATTACGTTTCGGAACAGATTCTTTAATCACTAATCTATCTGATTTGTGTTGTAATTAAAGGGCCAGTTCACCATTTACACGTTGATCATTCTATATAATATTCTGCAACGTTTCCCAAAAAGAAGAATGCATTTGGTTTCAGTATTAAAATAAATATATTTCAAGTGTCGGCTTTTGAAATGTGTCACCAGGCATGAAAAAAACTAAGTATTGAATTGATTTGAAATGGAGTTTGTACTGGATGATGTAGTAACTTTGTAGAAATCATTGGGAAATTGGCAAAAAATCCATAAAATGCAAGTATTTAAATGAGCTTTTCCCTTCATTGCATTATGGGAAATGTAGTTTCAAGTGTTCTAGGAGCATATTAGGGATTAAAAGCCACAATGCCTCGACTTCTGCTGACTTTAAACTGACTTGAATTAATAAATCAGCGGTCTATTAAGAAAGAAACGTATGGGTGAACCAACCCTTTAATTCAGTTAGTTTTTAAGCTGGAATACAAATATTTTAAAATGTACCAGCTGTGGATTGTTTTTTCTGCTACACTTTGCGTTTAAAACAGACAGAAACATCCTGGTTACACGAAGAAGAGATGCCTCAGGATGAGTTTCACTCCAAAAACAACGACGTCTAAAGCTAAAATAAATCTGTAACGGAAAGACAAGAAGCATCGGGTGTTTGGAGTGAAACATTTCTGCATGTTAGTTAAACGCCTCATACATCTGTGTGCTTATTCTATTTTATTCTATGTACACCTCTCTCCTCCTGGACATATAAAAAATGCATTTTCTTGATTTGTAGAAACCTGAGATGCTCGTACGTATTTATATTTACAGTTCAGCTCTCCATCGGTCGGCTCGTACAGAGCAAGGTCACTCCGGGGCGAAGTGTCTAACATTGTTTTTGGAAGCAAGAAGCTTTCTCGCGTTATTTAATTTAACATTCTTTGAGTTACTTCCTGTAAATGTACACATTTATTCTCAGAGAATAATTAGGGTTTCTTTTTCCTAGTAAATGTATCTATTTTTGACGTTTTTCCCCTCACACATCCTTTGAGTTTGTCTTGCATATGCTTGACTTATTTTTTGAAAATGTACCTCTTTATTC